TTCTACCGTGCACAATCAGGCTCGAGGTATGTTTCGATCGTGCTCGAGGTATGTTTCTACCGTGCTCGATTGTGCTCGAGGTATGTCTCGAACGTGCTCGAGGTATGTTTCTACCGTGCACGACCGGGCTCGAGGTATGTTTCGATCGTGCTCGAGGTATGTTTCTACCGTGCACGACCAGGCTCGAGGTATGTTTCGACCGTGGTTGAAGTATGTTTCGACCGTGCACGACCAGGCTCGAAGTATGTTTCGACCGTGATTGAAGTATGTTTAGATCGTGCTCGAGGTATGTTTCTACCGTGCTCGATCATGCTCGAGGTATGCTTCGACCGTGGTTGAGGTATGTTTCGACCGTGCTCGAGTCATGTTTTTACCGTGCTTGAGGTATGTTTCGACCGCGCTCGAGGTATGTTTCGACCGTGGTTGAAGTATATTTCGACCGCGCTCGAGGTATGTTTCTACCGTGCACGACCAGGCTCGAGGTATGTTTCGATCGTGCTCGAGGTATGTTTCTACCGTGCTCGATCGTGCTCGAGGTATGTCTCGAACGTGCTCGAGGTATGTTTCTACCGTGCACGACCAGGCTCGAGGTATGTTTCGATCGTGCTCGAGGTATGTTTCTACCGTGCACGACCAGGCTCGAGGTATGTTTCGACCGTGGTTGAAGTATGTTTCGACCGTGCACGACCAGGCTCGAAGTATGTTTCGACCGTGATTGAAGTATGTTTCGACCGTGCTCGAGGTATGTTTCTACCGTGCACGACCAGGCTCGAGGTATGTTTCGACCGTGGTTGAAGCATGTTTCGACCGTGCTCGAGGTATGTTTCGATCGTGCTCGAGGTATGTTTTTACCGTGCTCGATTGTGCTCGAGGTATGTCTCGAACGTGCTCGAGGTATGTTTCTACCGTGCACGACCGGGCTCGAGGTATGTTTCGATCGTGCTCGAGGTATGTTTCTACCGTGCACGACCAGGCTCGAGGTATGTTTCGACCGTGGTTGAAGTATGTTTCGACCGTGCACGACCAGGCTCGAAGTATGTTTCGACCGTGGTTGAAGTATGTTTAGATCGTGCTCGAGGTATGTTTCTACCGTGCTCGACCGTGCTCGAGGTAAGTTTCGACCGCGCTCAAGGTATGTTTCGATCATGCTCGAGGTATGCTTCGACCGTGGTTTAGGTATGTTTCGACCGTGCTCGAGGTATGTTTTTACCGTGCTTGCGGTATGTTTCGACCGCGCTCGAGGTATGTTTCGACCGTGGTTGAAGTATATTTCGACCGCGCTCGAGGTATGTTTCTACCGTGCACGACCAGGCTCGAGGTATGTTTCGATCGTGCTCGAGGTATGTTTCTACCGTGCACGACCAGGCTCGAGGTATGTTTCGACCGTGGTTGAAGTATGTTTCGACCGTGCACGACCAGGCTCGAAGTATGTTTCGACCGTGATTGAAGTATGTTTCGACCGTGCTCGAGGTATGTTTCTACCGTGCACGACCAGGCTCGAGGTATGTTTCGACCGTGGTTGAAGCATGTTTCGACCGTGCTCGAGGTATGTTTCTACCTTGCACGACCAGGCTCGAGGTATGTTTCGATCGTGCTCGAGGTATGTTTCTACCGTGCTCGACCGTGCTCGAGGTATGTCTCGAACGTGCTCGAGGTATGTTTCTACCGTGCTCGACCGTGCTCGAGGTATGTCTTGAACGTGCTCGAGGTATGTTTCTACCGTGCACGACCAGGCTCGAGGTATGTTATGACCGTGCTCGAGGAATATTTCGACCGTTGTTGAAGTATATTTCGACCGCGCTCGAGGTATGTTTCTACCGTGCACGACCAGGCTTGAGGTATGTTTCGATCGTGCTCGAGGTATGTTTCTACCGTGCACGACCAGGCTTGAGGTATGTTTCGATCGTGCTCGAGGTATGTTTCTACCGTGCTCGACCGTGCTCGAGGTATGTCTTGAACGTGCTCGAGGTATGTTTCTACCGTGCTCGACCAGGCTCGAGGTATGTTATGACCGTGCTCGAGGAATATTTCGACAGTAGTCGAGGTATGTTTCGATTTTTTGGTCGACCGAAACCCCTGTCTCTACTATTCTTTTTTGGTGGAACAGTGACATGTGCAAAAAAAAAGATTTAAAAACTTGGTTGCTTTGCAAGTTACACAAACCCCATCACATATCATGGGCTGAAAAAAATATATGAATTTTTTCTTATGATTTTGTGGGGATTTGAACAATGAAAGTTTGTTTTAAAGTTTGAATTTAGCGATTGACAACTAGTTTTAAATTGTAAAAAGCAAACAAAAAAGAGGCCTATTTTCTCAATACTGTGAAATTTTTTCAAAAATTCAATCGGTGAAATCATACTTGTTACAAATCATAAAAATACAATTCTTGATCATATTTGATGTTTCTTTTAGATTCCGAAGACTTGCGCAGAAAAATAAAACCAATAAAAACCACTTCCACATTTTAAAACTGTAAGTGCTGCTCATATTAAGACAACCTCAGGTTTGCTTTTTGTTGATGTTTTTGAATGGTATGAAGCTGTAATTTTTTTGACTTTTTAAGTTGATTACAATCTTAAGATTACACTTTCTGATAATAAAATTTTCAAGTCAAATGCGCCTCGGAAAATCGAAAGAAGTATTAGTTTTTCTTATAACTAGTTATTAAACCAATAAAGCCGAACTGGTGAAGAAAAAATTGTTTATAATTTCTTGATCCTTTTTTCCACGACCGACCAATGAAACCAGGAAGTAACTATTTCGAGTATTGACGCTTTTGCGCAGTTTAATTTTGCCCCTCTCAACCAGATCCCCGAAAGAAGTCGACAAATTTTTTATGAAGGTTGAAATATCAACTTTTGCTATGATTCTTAAGCAAAAACTTGTGTTTTGAACACAATGTGTTCCTATTTCATCAAAGATGTTTTGATTTTTAAGCTGTGGTAGAAAAAACAATTGATCCATAGTTTTTAAAAACCTTTGAAAGTCATAGAAATTTCACTTAACTCACATCTGGTGCAACCTAAAACGACGATGACTCCTTTGTTATTATCGGTTTTTGATATAGTCCGGCAGACACTACTTAGACCATAGAGACTCAAATGGAAGGTTTTTGCTGTAATATAGTTTCCAGTTTTCAGTAAAATATTTGATGATCGATTTATATGCTAATTTTTTGGTTTGTCTATAAAAACTATGAAAAATGACTATAATTAATTTAAAATGGTTTAACATCACGAGGCCGAACTGTGCATTTTGTAAATTGCAAGCAGTTTCCGCAAAAATCCAAAACAGAATTGTTGCAAACAGTAAACTGATTGCGCAAATTGTAAGTGGAACTCTTCAAATTGTAATCGGAATCCGCATAAGTTTGCGGAATCTGTTTATATTTGCGGATTCCGCCTAAATATGCGGAATCAACTTACAATTGTGGAATCCAGAACAACTAGCTATATTTGTCCTCAATAAAACAAATAAGCCGACAAATTTTACGACCAAATTGTTTTTTATAGCTCATTTTCAATTCAAAATTGGCGACCTTAAAATTAACCGGTGCGACCAAATTTAGCAGTTGCAGATTGTCATTATTATACTATGCGATCGCAGACGAGCGCAGCCAAATCTTGGCATTTCAATACCGACGCATCTGAAAAATACCACCGCCACCGTTTCGACCCAAAAAAAACCTTTGCGACCGGAGCGACCTAGCAAAATGGCGCGACTGAAAGTTGCCAACGGGTCCAAACCGGCAGGACTAAAAAACACATCACGACTGGCACGTTTGAACATGTTACCCAAAATGTTTTTGAGCCGCGCCAGCCAAAAAAAGACCGGCGTCGCAACTTTAACCAGCGCCGCGATTTTTGCTTAAAAACGGTACGCGGCGCAATTTACCAAGCTTTTTTTGAGTCTCAAACTTCAACGCGGATCAAAGTTATTTATTTTTTAAGTTTCCATGCAAATTATAATCCAATATACTAGTTTTTTGATGTGATAGGCTTTAGTTTTGCAAAATGAGGGATTATAGTTTATTATAATCGAATCTAGGTAATTGACTATAAATTTTATCCGGCCACTAAAATTGTTACCATTATAGTCGATTGTAAATCTTTCAAACATTCAATTTGGCGCTGAAAATTAGTTCACTTTAGTTTCGATAAACGTGCAACTATATTTAAAATACAATCAATTATTTTCTTTTTTTTTAGTGAGAGCGGGTTAAAAAATGTCAACTGTATGTATGAGGCTAGTCAAATTGACATGAAAAACGGAGCTGAGCTCTTTTGAATCAACAATATGAGCAATTCATTTTATAACTGCAAAATTAAAAGATTACAGGGGGCAGGCCTAAAGACAAAGTTGCATTGTTTAATTGATATCCACGGATTAGTCTATCGGATGAAATGAAGAATTGAAGCCCAATAAAGGACAGAGTACTAGTTAATAGCTGATCATTTTGGAATAAAAGTCAGCGCAGGTTTGTTGTGGCAAAAAATGATTCCAATTTTTAGCCCTAATAGTTTAAATCTTTCGAAAAGCACATCTACGACACAGCTACGACTTACGAGTCTGATAACATTCATCTGAGAAACTTCATACTTTGACAACCTATTTGAATGCTTAATCTATTTTCAGTGCCATTTAATAGCTTTCATTCTATTTTTAAAACAAAAAGCGACTTTAATATTTCATGACTATACAAATTTGACTCCTGAAAAAAAAGTGGACTCGATAATTGAGACTGAAGAAGTAGAGACTGTTCATGGGTTCTCGGGAGAAGACGATTAAGAGTATATCAATCAGTAGCAAATGACTGCTCCGCCGGCTCTCAGTTGATCCTCTTTGGGATGCTATTTGGGCACAATCGGAGCCCAAGTGGATTTTTGAGTCTAAATGGGCGAATTAGCTGTTAATAAAAACAATAAATTTTTAATGAAAACTTTTATTAATTTTGGAGCTCTCCGGATCACGCAGTGCGAATTAGGGGGACCTTTAAACTTGTTATTATCATTTAATCTGTGCTGTGCAAGCTTGGGATTTATAATGTTATAACCTAGTTAGCTAACCAGAGCAAGTTGAAAGAAATTAAAAGCGCCAATTTATGCTTAAAAGATGGAATTATTCTAATTGATTTTGTTGGGATTTGGGCAAATGCTTTAAGTGCGGTCTCTTCGGCCCAGAAGAAAGAAAAGCGATCCTAGTGGGCTAAGTGAAAAGGGGGTTAAGTGGAGAGGGGGCTGATTATTAAGTGTGGCTCATTTGATTTGTGTCCACTCAGTAAATATATTTTAATCGGTGTGAAGTCTTGGGGGGATTAGGGCGGAAAAATGTGATTGGAGAGTTGGATAATTCATTAAGTTCTATTCCATTACTTGATTAATTAAATATTACTTTTCGCCATTATTTGCCCTGCAGTCCCATTGAAAAGTAAGTGAGGGGATATAAAAACATTTTTAAATCAATTTCCACCCCTAAGTCCCATCCACTTTGCGGGATTATTTCGATTTCCAAAGGCAATTCAAATTTCATTTCGCTTATTTTTTACCCCATTTACCCATTTTACCCGCCGCCTCAGTCGTGCCTCTGCCTCGCCCTCAGATATAACTTAAATCTCAATAGGCAGATTGCCATCGAAAAAACAATTGCCCCGCTTATAAACACCTTTCATAAACATTAGCTAAACACCAAACACCCGAAAAGCATCTTTCCCCATTAACACTTCTGTTTACACAGAACAAACAAGCCCTCTTTGACTCAAAAATTCCAACTTTCATCTGAAAAATTAATTTTTGCCCTTTCTTCTATCTTTGAAATTAACTCAACTCACTTTTAATAAAAACTCATTTAAATTTCTGGGCTGACAAAGTTTTTATTGAAAACTGGACAACATCTGGAATTGATAAGTTCCAAAAACTTCCATACTGGTTTAGAACTAGAGATAAGTATAAGTTATTCTACTAATTAAATTACTTTTTCACGCGCAACTGATTACGTGGGCTAATCGCCCTATTAATATGTAATCTTTTAACCATTTTGCAATAAATTTCCAATTATTTGTATCCAAATTTGAAAGATAACTGACACCTTTATCTCGCTTTGAAATCTGAGAGGATCCAAATTTTGTTAATTGAAAACATGCAGTCCGAAACCACACGGGTAGCCCAAGATTTCAGTGGGATTTTGAACTCCCAAGTTTCACAAGTTTCAAACATTTCTAAATTCCTGATCGAATCCATTTTGAATGTATCGGCAAAAGAAGCGGCATCATCTCAGAATTTGCAAATTCTCAACGCGATTCAAGGTAACTTAGCCGACAGTAAAAGTGCAGACAAAAACAACACAGAACAAACAGCCGACGAAATTGAAGAAGATACGACAGATGATCAATCGAAAAATAAAACTACTATTGAAAGCTTTCAAAGAGCAACTTCAACTCCTAAAATTGAAGAATTGCCAGAAAAAGTTATCAGAAAAGAGCTGAACTCGAGTTTTTCTCCGAACGCTGAAAACGACAATTTATCTCCGGTTAGAAGTTCTGAGAACAAAGTTTCGAAGCAAAAAGAAGAGCTGCAAAATTTCCAGAGGAATCTTTTGTATTCGAATTTTGGAAACGGCGGTTTGAATGGTATTCATCAATACTCTGGAGTTCCTGGAATTGCAATTTCGCAGAATCTTCAGAATTTGTACAAAAATGCGAGCAGCTCATTGGCTCAATTTACTTCCACGACTTCGCCGAGTAGTCTCGTGGGAACTCAGCCGACCAATCAGATTGCAGCAGATAGTCTGTCGCTGTTCAATTACCTGCAACAGGCTGCAGTTCTTTCCTCCTCCTGCAATCCTGCGACTCTTCTAGTGCAGAGTGGTCACGTGACAGGTGCTGGATCGGTCTGCAGTCCAAATCAGCAGATGGAGAACTACTCCAGACTGCTGGCACTTGGCATTGGACTCGACCAGAACAATGGTCAGTCAGTATTATTAAGTTATTTGAAACAACTTTCCACGTGAATTTCAAATTGTATGTTCATTATATTGTAAAGGGTCAAAGTTAGAGCTCAGAAGCTTTTAAAACTAGTTGAACTATTTTTTTTTATTTCTGGCGAACCAATATTGGAATTAAAATCAAATTTCTAATGAAAAACTTCCATTAAGGTTAAATTTCAAGAATTACTTACTAAGTCCATTTTTCAATTAAAAACAGCAATTAAAAAAATTGCTCATTTAATCTCAAACTGAATTCTTCTTTTTTTTCAGGATTCGTTCCCTCCTTCCACCACCCAGGCCCCCTGTCCAGTCCCTTGGACGGCAACTCCTCTGGCTTGGGGGGATTGCAGGGGGGCAACAGTAAGTGCAGACGGCCCCGGACAGCCTTCACGAGCCAGCAGCTGCTGGAGTTGGAGAACCAGTTCCGGAAGAACAAGTACCTCAGCCGACCCAAGAGGTTCGAAGTGGCCACCAAACTCATGCTCACAGAAACACAGGTCAGATCAAAACTCAATTTCATCTGATAAATTGCTCTTTTTCAAACAAAACATATTTCAAACAAAATTATTTTTCTAACAAAATTACAAAAAATATATTTTTTTTAGCCGAATTAAAACGATGATATTATTAAAATAGCTGAAAAATTAAAATTAGTTCAACTTTGCCAAACTGATCGTAATTATCATTTATAGGTTGCAAACCCGAATAGTAAAGTGATAGCTCTTAAGTCTTAGCTGCAATTTTGCGAAACAATGAATTTAACGGGAAAATTATTCCAATAAGCAGCAAATTATGATGCACCCGAGAAAACCAAAATGCTGATAGATGAGATTTAAAAAATTAGTTCACGAATTTGTTTTTCAGGTGAAGATCTGGTTCCAGAACCGACGAATGAAATGGAAGAGGGCTAAAAAAGTACTGAGCAGTTCATCGACAAACAACAACAACAACAACAACAACAACAACAACAACAACAACAACAACAACAACAACAACAACAACAACAACAACAACAACAACAACAACAACAACAACAACAACAACAACAACAACAACAACAACTCACTGAATACCAGCTCATCATCATCATCTTCCTCTTCCTCGTCCACCAATCACAATTCATCACTCAATGCAACACATACAAGCCCACTCAATCTCAAGAAACACTAAAAAAGAAAGTGAAAACAACGAATCCTACTTCAGAAACTCAAACGTCATAGCTGCTTCTTTTGATTACACGCGGCAAACTTTTTCTGTTTATAAAATCAATTTCTACTTGATAAATTGTATATTTGACAGTTTTTAATTTAATTTTAAAAGAAAACGATAAAAAATAACAGGGTTTTTATTGGACAAGAGCAAAACTACCTCTTTGAGTTAATTTTAAGGCAAAAGGTATAATTAATTGCCAGCAGAATTTTGGACAGTTCATGGAAAAATATTGAATTTATCGCAGAACTAACAGTAAAAGCGGAGCGCCTTCAATTTTTTGGGTCAATCATGGGTACATGCTCATTATTTTCATAAAGGCTGCTTATTTTTTAAAATAATTTGAAGCCATCTGAAACTATTTGGAATCAAATTAACTTCCTCCTCACTTATTAAACCAAGTAAAAATTTTCCTACCCAATGTTTATTTTAGAACATATGCCCAACTCTGCGTGTAAAATGCTGGATTCTGGCTTAAAACCAACTTAACACCCTGCCCCTTAGATCACTTTAGGAAGAGGATCATAACTTGGTACATCATTTGGTTAGTGGTACATTTTCTGCGAAAAAATAAAAAATACAAAATTTGAAAAAAAGCTCGTCCAAAAATTTCATACTATAAAAAAACGATGGTCAAACAATTTCAAACAATTTGCGAGAGAAAAACATATATAAAATAACTGAAAAAATGCTTGCATATAATGAAACTTATAAGAAACTTTTTTTTTGTTCTCTATGCGTAATCATTTTTAAGCATAAGTCCAAATAAGTCTTTTGAGTGATGTCCAAAAACAAACTAACCAAACATTTTCTAACACCAGTGTAAGTGGCCTTTACCACGCCAATAAACTGCATTTGTCGATATTTGCCATATAAATTATTGCTTAGTTTCTTAGAAAAATTGTATACATAAAACACAATTTTCTATACGGCCAGAAATTTTTTACTTCTTGGAAAAGAATTTTGTGGTTGAGAAAAGTTTGCCCGTTTTTCTTACATAAAATGATTTATATTAGCAAACAAAAACCTATAACAAGATTTGTTTTTATATAAAAACACTTGATAATGGTTTTTAGGTTTGTTATGTTAAAGTATATGAAATTGTTTAATAAAACTTTTTCTGTTTAAAATATATTTTTTTGGATACCAAAGTTACTCTCATGTAGCAAAAACTGCCATCAATTTGTCTTAAACCCATTTGCAATAACCTTGAAAAAAGTTTCCTATTAAAAAAAGTTTGTCATGCAAATTTCTTCTATGAAAAGCGTATGATAAGCGTTTTTACAATGGACAATGGATGGGCGTTGAAACTGTATTATGGGCGTTTTCTTACATGGATGTCGACCCAGTTAAAAAATTACCCTCGATCATTTTTTATTTCGTGTTCAAAACAATTATTAAAATCACTCACAGTAATCTAAATTTTAAGTGTAACAAAGGTAGCCGGTGGCTGAGCAAGTAGCCCAGAAAGATCCGAAATTACTCTGAAAAAAAATACATAAAACAATTTTTCAGTTTTTTTTTCAAGATATTGTTATTTTTTGTGAGTCGTGGGATAGAAGGATCTGACAGAAACAAAAAAAACTGAGGCATACTTTACGGTCATAATAAAAAATGAATTCGAGGAACAGTTTTAGTGAAGAAATGACAAAAAAGAAAAACAAAATAATCTAATAACAAAGAAATCAAACTTTTTTTCTCGACACTGGATTTTTTTTGAATATGTTTATTTGTGGTAACGTTTTAATTTATATCTTTTATTTACTAGTGTTGACCGACAAGTTCAGTCTCAGCTACGTTGATCAGCTACCAGTCTCACCTCCTATCACCAACGTCGATCTCACTTCCTGTAACCCAACTGCGATCCCAATTCCTGGCCCAACTTCAATCCCGATTCCTGTCACCAACTTCGATCTCAATTCCTGTAACCCAACTTCGATCCCGATTCCTGTAACCAAATTTTGATCCCAATTCGTGTAACCCAATTTCGATCTCGATTCCTGTAAACAAACTTTGATCCCAATTCCTGCCATCAATCTCAATTCCTGCAAAGTGAACAAATTGAACAAATTTATGAAGTAAACTTGCAACTAAAATAATCAATTAGTTTCATTCAATTATTTCGAGTAAAATATAAATACTTTAGCTCAGGCTTTTTCGAGTGTTTTCAAATTGCGAACATATAGTTTGATAAGGCAAAAATTTTGGGAACATATTTTTGTTTTTGCAATTAAAATTTATTTCAGCTTTAGTTGTTCAAGTTTTGTTATTTTTTGTGAGTCGTGCGATAGAAGGATCTGACGGAAACAAGAAAATTGCGGCATACTTTACGGTCATAAAAAGAAATGAATTCGAGGAACAGTTTTAGTGAACAAATGACAAAAAAGAAGAACAAAATAATAACAGAGTGTCAAGCGAATAACAATTGAAAAAATTTTAATACGATATTATATCGCTTGACCCATCCCGATGATTATTTATGTTTCCTAGTTTTGCGTGGAAATGAAAAAGAAAAAACACTAAAATGCACCCGAAAACAAAATTCCTCCCCCGACAAGCAATTCTCAAGCAATAATCTGCAAATTTCTTTGAGTAAATACCCAACTTTACTCCTTTTTAATAAAATTATTTTCCTTATCCTGTTTTTTTTTCACAACGTGATATACCATTAATGAAGTTGTTGAAAAGAAACTTGATCGGTAAAAAAAACATGCAGAATTTTGTTTTCACAGTGCCAAAATTCAGGTTTAAAATATAGCTCCTTAGACAAAATCAGAGTAAGTAAGGCGAATTAAATTCAAGTTCAGAGCTTTTTTGTTTCCATGAACAGCGTCTATCTTTTTAGATAATTTTTTATGCAAACAAAAAAAATTGTAGAAAACTAGCTGTTAACTGATATCTATTTCTCCAATATCTCTTCTTTTCTACGTGTACATCAACCGGTTGCTTATCTAACAACTTTTGACGATAAGAGACAACAAAAACTTGCATTTTTCAACCAGCCGAATTTTGCGTTGATCTTGTTTGCGCCCAATTTTGCGAAAATACAAGAACTTTTTTGTTAGCTGTTGTTTTCATCAATTTATTTTGTAATGGTGGTAATCAATTCGTTAGCAGGCTGATCATAAAGTTTATTACCAGAAGTCAAAGAAAAATTAGTAATCAAGCCATTTCAAGTTATGGATCTTAAATGCCTAATGAAATTGATTCCATAAAACTCATAAATCAATTACTAAAGATTTTTAAAAAAAATGCAAAATCAAACTATCTTAAAAGTTGCATTTTGAGGAATTAGCTGTATTATGTTTGCTAACTTTCAAAAAAGATGCAAATTATGCAATTTTCATTATTGTAAATTGTTTGACAATTATATTTTTACATGACTTGGAAGACAGATCCGCTTGTGACAAAAAGTTGATATGTCGCAAATGTCAATGCTCAAATCAAAAATTTTTTCTGCACATATTTTGTTTTTGAAATTCTTAAAAATAGTCCAAACAAAATTGAAAGAAAAAAAGCCGAAAGAAAAATTTGTATGCAGCTAGAACTATTTTGATATTTTTGGTTTACGGCGACAAATTGGGTCATGATTTCCAACCATCGAAACAGATGAAGTTTAAAACTTGCTAGTCATAAGCAAAAAGCCATCGGCTCTGTTCCTGTTCCCCCATTTCACATAAGCATCAATTTTATGGTGTAACAAGGGGTTTTGCAAAGTTAAACCAAATATCTTTGTCCTGACCAAATTAATTCGCATGCCAAATTTCGCAACATTCGGAAAATTTGCAGGTGGGGGAGAAGGAAAAAGAGCCAAGCCATTTTTCATCCAATTTCCATGGCAATACTCTCAAAAAGTTTACATTTACCAGCAATCAACTACATAAATTAAACTGCACATGGCGCCACTTTTTAAAATTATTTTTAAATGGTTTACTAAGACAACAGAAGTATTGGTATATTTCTAAGTCATCTTGAAATTTCTTACGAGATGCGACCAGTTTGATTTCTTTAGGTAGTGAATTCCATTTTTAATACAACCTTTTGCCGCCGATTTTTTGCTTTTTTTTGTTATTCGGTCGACTCTGGCGTTTTACCTGAAGTGTTCTCTTGTTTTTATGCAGCTCAAGTGTTTTGTAGACAAAACCAAATACAAAAATTTCTTATTTTTTTTCTTAAGCAATCGAAAGATTTTAGAAGAATCATTTTTCTTATCAATAGCACGCAAATTTTCAGCTCACGTGCTCTATCAAAGTTTCTACGCAAAAAACAGACTTAGAGTCCCCAGTTTGTTTGCTGAATTATCCTGTTCATTTGTGAAGTTTGTAACCTTTGTAAGAAAACTGCGCTATATGTTATATGGGATAATACTAAAATGGGTCTAAATCTTGATAGCCCCGCGCTATGACGTTTCATGCTACTTGTTTCATGCTACGAAAGCTATGTTTTATGAACAAAAGTCTCTTACCAAATTTTGGTAACACCAAAACGAATATCGATGAAAATTTTAAATGCGCTTCAATCTATAGATTTCTTTGACATTTGTTAAAATTTTTTAAAAAACATAAAATATATATATGCACTAGATTATTTCGCAGGTGTTAATCTGAACGGGTCAATTTGAAAAACAAATAAAAGACCAACGCCGACTATTCAAAATAAATGACGAAAAAAAATTTGAAGCAAATAGATCATTTCACTTTTCTTAGTTCCGAACTTGAAGCGGTCGAAAATCATGGAACGCTGCGTCGCTGAAAGCTTTCATGTTATCTTGACCAAAATCGTTGATTTTTCATTTGATAGCGCATTTCACGGAATTCAATACATCGCAAACGCTTCTCGTAGATATTTATTCAGGTTTATATGGTTAATATTGGTTATAACAGCTAACTTCATATGTTTAAACTTAGTAACTTCGACTTATGGAGAGGTTGTCGTGAATAAACCGAAAGTGACCGACATTC